TAAAAAAGTTTTACTAGTCTATTGATGTTTCTTGTATAATAGGTATTCCACTGGTTCAGCGTATTTTTCTTGTAATGAATGCAATTTCGTTTCCACATTTACGGATATTGTTAAAGGTATAAAATAGATTCAACCCTTTTTTTTTTCTATCGTAATTTAAAAGTTTAACCAATTCTCCTATTGACTTTTTTTTTTAAAGGTGTTTCTATATCAAAAGATGAAGATTGTGAAAATGAAGATTGTAATTCTTGCATACTAAAAATTGAATTTCGAGAAAATCAAAATAAGAAAGCTTTAAAAGGTTGCATTTTATGTGATGACGAAATAGCCGAGTTGTTAGAAAACAAGTAGGTTTTGAAATTTATTTCATTTATTAACTCTTATGATGCTAACATTGTTTTATATATTTAAAGATTTGCAAAAAAAGGTGTTAATAATAGTAGGGGAAGAGGAAGAGGTGGTTATAGGCGTGGAAAGAGAGGTCTAAGTCGAGGTCGTAGCAGGGGTAGAAGAAAACATTTAAAATCTCAATAGTCCTAAAAACCAATAACTTATTTTTGGATTTCAAAAAAAAAATGTAAAACTCTTTATCCCACATTATTAGATATTTATCATAAATTAATAATATTAAAATGTTAAAATGTTTTTGTTACACTGATACATTTAAAGTAACTTTCAACGTAAAAAAAAACCTTCGATATAAGAAACTAATTAAACTCTCGATACAAAAAAGTCAAGTAAAGCCAGCCTGTAATAAATCCACCCGATGTAAGCTATTAATCGACTCTCAATGTAAGAATTTATATCTCACTTTTCTTTTTATTGGCAGTTAATTTTGCTTTTATATTGCTGTATTGTGAAATAAGATTTTACTGCAAATTGTAAAAAAAAAAAAAAAAATTGCTAAAAAATTTTTCAAAATAATGTTTGTATTTAATTTCTTATTTAAATCCAAAATTTAAAATGAATAAAACAGTAAGATGTTGAGGTATTTCAAGTATATATCTTATCGAGTGAAGTTCCCGTGTCTTTGATTTCGTTGCAATCAAATAATAATGTTTATTGCCTAGCCACTACTTACCTTCATATATTTTTCCCTTGGCGATACCCACATAATGAATGTGATCCGGGAATTCAATAAGCATCAATCGGATGTTCACTTCTTCTGCGTTAATAAAATATAGTTTAGAGAGTTAGTGAGATTGCTAGTTATTTCATTAATTACCTCTTTATAACTTCTTTTCACTTCTCTTTTGATAAAATTTTCTTAAGAGGTATGAATTTGGAGTAGTACTGGATATTTTGATACTCAAGCTTGATTGAGATATAGTTATAGTTGATGTAGATGTATTTTGTTTCTTTAAAGCATTTCTTTTTTGTTTTCAAATCGAAGAGTCAGAGATTTGATCGTTCCTGAAATCAACTGATCTAAATCTACTGAATTTTTGCATCATTTTTCCCAAATAGCATAAGAAGTTTTATACCATAGCTGTAAGTAGGAACTCTTATTTTTCTTTTAAACAAGGAAATTATCGACCTCTTCCGATGGTTTAGATTTCATGCAGATGGTGATGTGGAACACCGAATCTTTGGCTCCTGACACAATTCGGATTTTGGATCATTATCATATGTGTTCCAACTCATTTAGGATAATTCTAATAGTTATATCTTGCATACTAATAATACTTGGATTGCTGTTTGAGCATCTCAGTCATGCCTTGATTTTGGTCACTTTTTTTTTTTTTTTTATACTCGCTCGTTATATAACTTTGAAGACAATTCCTTTGAAAAGTAATCATACTGTAGTTAAACAATTTAGCATTAATATCAGTCGGTCAAGATGTTACGCAGATCACGGGGTAAATTTTTTACTATGAGATATCCTTGTATTTGGATCTGTTAGACTTTTTATCTAGATTATCCAGATAATACAGATAACAGATAACAAATTTGTTCAACAGATAATTTATCCAGATAGTTACTTTAAGTTTAGGTAATTATCTATAGATTATCTGTATTAAATATAGAGTCTTTGTCTTGAAAATAACTTTATAGCACTATGTACTATAAGGCTATTTTTAAGGCAAGGATCTTATATATTATAAAATAGTGAAATAATAGAATGCAAATATGCTTTTTATATAGTGTTTATAGATCCAGTTCTGGACCAATCTGATTTGGATTTGGTCTGGTTTCAAACCAAAATCAAACTCTAGATTTACTAATTTTCAAACTTTAAATTAAACTCAAATTTATAATACCAAATCCAAACCAAACTTAAACACAATTAGAGTTCTGAAGTTCAGTTCAAGTTCAATTAAGTTCAGTTCAATATTCAGTTTAGAGTTTATAAACATGTTCAGTCAGTTTGATTCAAAATATATATGTTTATTTTTGAATGCTAAACAAGTTTACTTAGAGCATAAAGTTAGAATTAATTAGTAAAATTTTGAGTTTTATTTAGTATAGATGGGAATATAAAGATATTATAAGATTATTTAATATAAAAAAACACTAACCCTAACTCTAATCTAATTATTATTTAAACTATAACCCTCACCCTAACTCTAACTATTTATAAATTTGTTTAAATTAGTTTAAATAGTTATTTTTATATGTTATAATCTTATAATATTTTTATATTTCCACCTATACTAAATATTAACCAATCTGTGATTCTCAAAATTTTACTAATCGATTCTAATTTTGTGTTATAAGTAAACTTATTCGGTGCATAAAAATACATTATAACAGTATAGTTAATTTTTATATTTCTTAAAAATTTAAATAAAGATGCTTAATTTTAGATTTTTTGATCAAAAAACTCAAAATTAAGCATCTTTGCTTAAATTTTTAAGAAATATAAAATTAACTATACTGGCATGATGTATTTTATATGCTGAATAAGTTTACTTATAGCACAATATTAAAATCAATTAGTAGTAAAAATTTATTTATATTATTTTAAATAATTCGAATTAATTCGAATAAAATAAAATTAGATTAAATTATTTAAATATACTGAAATTGTTTCGGAATTTGAAAACATTCAAAAATATGTATTTATAATAAAATTAAAATCACGTGATAAGTGCCAAGAATTTTACTATAA